TTTCTGAAAGCTGACACTCAAACACCAGAACCACACACCAAATCTGCAAAAACATACCCTAATTCTCGGCCTTTGACTCTCTTTGACTTTTTGCAAAATGCAACACTCAATTCTCTATGTAACACAAAAATCTAACAGGAATTAATATTATGGCAAAGGTGTTTGCAAATGTTTGCTTTTGAGATGTGTTTGTGATATTTTGAATGCAGTGCTTCATTTTGCAAGAGATGTGAGGCATTTTGCATTTTGTGTGTGCAAAGTTTTGAAAAAGAGGCAAAGTTTTGAAAATGTAAGCAGTTGAAAAACACCTGTAAGAAAAACTAATAACTAGATTGAAAAGTTTGAAAGACAAATTTATGCTGGCTTGTCTTAAATTCTTGTTTAAAAAATGTAAATGGTTTGGTCAGTTAGATGTTGCTAGTTGGTTGCTAGGATATTCTGGGTGGTTGCTAGGGTCTTGCTATGCAGTTGCTGGGGTGTTGCTAGAGTATATGGTTGATAGAGTTTGTTCTGGGTGAGTAAACTGCATAGATGATTACTTAATGGTAATATAATATTTATGAACACAACTGTGTATGTCAGACCATAAATCCCGAAAAACTATGCATGGGGGCTTGCTTTGGTGCTGCCACCCCTCACAGACCCCATGCCACCCCTTTGCCACCTTAAAATTATTTTCTAGATCCACCCCTGCTGCCTAGGGCCCCACAACCCTATGGGCCGGCACTGAATGTATTACCCCTGTAATGTATTACGCGCGAGGGAGAGGAGAGTTCGTGGTTGGAGTTCGGCTGCGGGTAAGAGAAAACTCTTGAGCCTTCCGCGTTTTATTATTTTTGGGAAAGTTAGGACGCCTCCTGATACCCGTTGTTTAGGTTGTCATTTTCAGGAAATAAACGAAGGCCGTTGGCTGCTGTTGAACTGGATCTTCGTCTGCTGCCTATTTATTCTGGGTTGTTGCACAACGCTACAATATTAACAGATTGTGAGCTTGTAGGCTAGCTTTGTAAGCAGTTTCAAAATAGCTTTCACAATGCAATGCTCTCAACCTGACCTTCCATTTCTAGTGTGCTTTTTAGTCAGTTTCACCAGCTTTCTCTTTCAGGTCAATTAAGTATCAAACAAGTTAAAAAATAATCTTGCTGGTGAAGTTATTTAAACTGCAATCCTGTTTATAGCCATCTTAAAAATGCAAAGTAATGATGTCAAATGACAGCAAAGTGGCAGTACCTCACAGTATGCTTATATTTCATAAAAGTAAACAAGAATAAACTTAATAGTTTATTTAAAAAGACTGTTCTGATGTGATCAAAGCCCTATAAAGAAACTAAAACAGAATAGAAAAAGACAGAACAACATCTACACCTTTAAAGCGGCCAGACAGTCCCAGGGGCCAAATCTTCCAGTAACCCACAAGCCGGTCACTGTCACAGGGGTAATAGCCATCACCGTCTCCTGCCTCTGACATCTTGTTGAACACCAAAAATCATCCAGCTGCATCTAAACCTCATTCCTTTCAAGTTTGCCTGAGTGAAGATGCAGAAAAGTTCAAAGGAAAGTTACCTTTCGGTGAGCTCCCGTCCTGCGCTCTTCCTGCTCTGTATTCTGCAGCTCTCTCTGCGTGATTTGGAAGGCATTGTTTTCTTCTTGCGGACGGTCAATGTCCGGAGCCTGTCTGCATCTGGAAATGAGATACAATCCTCTTTGCTCACACTATAGTGCATCTCAATTAAGCTCCAGAGCTCTGCACACTCACTTACAAAAGCCGACTTGGCTGCTTTTATTTTCCGAATTTGCAGCGAAAATATTTTGGCAGCAATTTTTCAATTTTTGCTGTTTTTGTGACCTTGATTCAGTGCAGCATTAAATGAAACATCTACACTGATTTGTGCTTAAACTCACCCCAACAGAGCAGTTCTGAAATACTAACCTTTAAATCAGACAATGAGTGAGCAAAGTTAACACATCAAACCAATGACTAAATTGGAGTCATCAAAAAAAAAAAAAAAAATTATTGATATTTTATTAAAAGCTCTTTAAAGTTAAAATTTAAGCTGAAAACTACTACTGCTAGCATCACAATGGAATTGCACCCAAAAATAGTCCAAACTCATTTGAGCACCGATTTAATTTGGGATATTAAACTTCAGTCAAACTTTAATTAATTAGCTATAAGCCTTCAGAAATGGCCATGCAACTAACAACTGCCTGCTTTTGGAAATGGTACCACTTCCAATTTAGTTTTTCAGGACATGCAACATAGTAATATTTCAAGTATAGTACCAAGGTTTGTTTCTTCATGGTAACAGACTTGGAGAAATTTTGCTTTACATTACTTGCTCAGCAATGGATCCTCTGCAGTGAATGGGTGCCGTCAGAATGAGAGTCCAAACAGCTGATAAAAGCATCACAATAATCCACACCACTCCAGTCCATCAATTAACATATTGTGAAGCGAAAAGCTGTGTGTTTATGAGAAACAAATTCATCAAGTCACTTTAACTTCAAAATGTTGCTTCTGGCCAAAATGTGAGTCCGTAATCCATATTAACACGTCCTTTTTATCAGCTGTTTGGACTTTCATTCTGACACAATTCGGACTTTGTTCTCTTTCTCTGATGGATGCTCAGTACTGTAATGTTCTAATGCTACAGTGGGAAGGTCTCATTGCCAGGGCTCTGCACCATAAACACTTCAGATCCTGCCACGGGCTCTTCATCAGATGAATGCCCTTGAACGAGGATCATTACCCCTTGTACTTCAGGGAAGCTGTCCTGCTTTGACCCCGGTCCCTGCCTGCAGATGTCTGCTGAAGTCAGAGTAAATAAAGCCTGTGCTTAGTAACAAAAAATGACTCATAATAGCAAACAGTAGCTTAAGTTAATGAATTAGAAATATCCTTCACTTGAAGCTAAAGGACAGACTTTTTCCTACCTGTACAACCCTGACAGCAAAGCAATGAGCTATGGAAGCCTGTTTCTGCCACAGAATAAAAAGCCTGTCTGACGTTTTTCTTGCAATTCCAAGTTAAATATCTGGCAATTATGACATTTTTTTCTCAGAATTCTTAGTTTACATCTTGCAATTTTGTTTCTGACACAGAATAAAAAAAAAAAAAAAGGTAATTACAACTTTTATCTCACATTTGACTTTTTTTTCTTCATAATTGCATAACTCTCACAATTCCAAGTTGCAATAAACGTGTTTTGTTTCTGACACAGAATAAAAAAAAAAAAAAGGTAATTACAACTTTTTATCTCACATTTGACTTTTTTTTCTTCATAATTGCATAACTCTCACAATTCCAAGTTGCAATAAACGTGCAATTCTGAGAATTGCGAGAAAAGTCTGGATTGTGAGATAAAAAGTCACAATTACAGTTTTATTTTTTTATTCCATGGTGGAAATGGGCTTACATAATAAGCTGCTCTTAAGCACAATGAGTGTTTAAATGTACAACAAACTAAATGCTTTTTTTAAAAAAATGATAAAACATGTTTTAGAACGGTCAGGTTTTTCTCCAGTCTTGATGTCAAAACAAACAGATATTGAGTGTTTACATGCAAAATCACTAGGCTCTATCATGTAGGCTAAATGCCTTAAGGAGCATTTGCACAGCAATTAAAATGGTTGTGCATGACCCTTGTCACCAGAAATGAATTATTATTGGTAAAAACAAATGACTTCAGATGTCTACAAATCGCTATCAGTAAAATATGTAAGTAAAAAAAGTAAGGCTGCATTTATTTGATTAAAAATACAGTAAAAACTAATATTGTGAAATATTGTTACAATTTATTCATTTTGAATATATTTTAAAATGAAATGTATTCCTGTGATCAAAGCTGAATTTTCAGCATCATTACTCCAGTCTTCAGTGTCACATGATCCTTCAGAAATCATTCTAATACGCAGATTTGCTCTTCAAGAAACATGTGCTGCTTAATATTTTTGTGGAATGTTCCTATAGAATATAAAGTTTATATAAACATAAATAGAATTATTTTGTAACATGATCATTATCGTCTTTAATGCCACTTTTGATCAATTTAATGCATCCTTGCTGAATAATATATAAAAAATAAAAAATAAAAAAAAACTTACCCCAAACTTTTTAACAGTAGTGTACATACAAAAGTAAATTGTTGTTTAGCCAAGCATGTTCATAATTCTTTTTCCAAAAGATTAATTATAACGTTGGTTAAGTATCTGCTAAAAATGCCATTCAAATCTGAAACCAGCCGAAAGAAAAAAAAACACTTGCAAATATGAGAACAGTCTTCTTATAACAAGTCACTTTCAGATCTTATTTCAACAAGAAAATGTAAGAAAGAAAATAAAAGCCAATCAGCTTTAGCATTAACCATTATTATTTCTGAACATACAAAAAAGCGTGTACAGTCACAGTCTGAGCAAAGTTTGGTAACACAGACCAGAAGATGCTTTGGCAAGAGAAGTTTCTGACTACACCTGAAGCATGTCGGTTATGTATTCGCTTTGATAAATGACACTTTTAATCTCTGAAAACGTAGATGGTAGTCTAAAACATAAGAATGACTGGTATGATTAACTGCCAAACTCCCACAGTCCACTTCATTCACTGTACAGTTCAATCTCAGCGTGTTTAAGCATATGGCTACTTGGATTTTTACGCCGTTCTTTGACTTACAAGCACTGCTGTTAAAGCCTGGTTGTGCACACCCAAGCACTCATACAAAGATAAAGAGTCTATCATGTCTCAGAATTTCTTCTTGCTCTAAGCATGTGTCCAGGTCTGCGCTTCTCCTCAGGGGTCACTGGGCTCCATGTCGGGCAGCTGGGATGATGACGGAGGAGGAGGCGGGTCAGAGGAGGCGGAAACGGGGTCACCTGAGCCATACGTGTTCTGGAGAGAACGAGACACGTAATTCCAGTATTCCCTTCTAATGGTGTCCTTTTCCTCAGCCAGGAATTTACAAAGCTAAAAAACAAACAGGTGTGAAAGGGTGAGAACAATCAAGGCTCTTTTTCATCGATGGAGACAGCAGAGATGATTCGGGGGGGAGAAATGGAAAAGCATCAGGACATTGTAACGAGAACCAAAAAAGAGAAAAAAAATGGACGATAAACTCCAAGACACTGAGCGAACACTGTACATATTTCAGACAGTGTAAAACAACAGGGGAGTGGAAGTCTAAATGCAGCTCTGACATTTTCCCATGTAAAGAGTGCCTGCGTACAAGCAGTGAGACGGCCGGCTCCCTCTGAGCAGCAGTAAAAGCCTGTTCAGACCTTATGAAAGGAAATCTGCTGGTTACGCTCATCAATATTCTGCACTTCACAGCCTTACTGAAAGGTCAGCGGTCTGAGTTCTCCAGCTCGACCTGCTGAGGAATTCTCTAGAAGCACGGGAGAAACGAGCAGAATCCGCTCTAGAGCCTTTCGAGAATTGTAAGGCTTCCACAGTAGAACCCATGAGAACCATTTTAGAACTGTTCTAAGGGTTCCACTGTAGAAACCATTCCAAATATTTTAGAACTGTGTGAGTGTCCCACTGTAGAAATCATCAGAAATATTCTAGAACCATGTGAAGTCGCACAGAAGAACCTGGTAACCAGGTAAATTTAAGACATTTTAAAGACCCTTTTAAGACCAAGAAAATAAAATTTAAGGAATAAACAGAAGGGAACACAATACGCCAATATGGTCTCTTAAAGTGAATGTCTAGGGAGCAGATGAGTTATATTAGCAGCACTTCAGTTTGAAAGTACAACTTCCAACCAATCCATCACAACCACTAGAACACAAAAATCATTTTTCTGATCTCACGGCAAAAAAAGGGATGTTTGTCTAACGTATTTTTGTCTTGTTTTCCAGTGCAAATGCCTAAAGATTCTTAAATCAAGAAACATTTACTTGAGAAGCAAAATGACAGAAGTAGTCTTGTTTTATGAGAAACTGATCAAAATGAAGTGAGTTTAAACAAGAACAAATATCTGCCAATCGGCTCAGAAAAAAATATTGGTGGATATTTGTTCTTGTTTTAAGCATAAAATCACTTAATTTTGTTCAATTCTTCAAGACATTTTACATTTGCATCTCAAGTAAATCTATCTTGATTTAAGGATGTTCAGATATCTGTAAAAACAAATACTGAGGAAGGCCTTTTTATTTTTATTTTATTTATTTTTGTTATTTTGTATGCAACATTTAATGCCAGGATTTTATGAATTTAAGACTGTTCTGATTTGATTCTTTTTAAGGCCATAATTTGTGGAAGGGGTGAATTAAGACTTTTTAAGACCCACAGAAAACCTGATTTTATAAATGTTGTGAGGGTTTCACTGCAGATGGGTTCCACAAAAAAAAAAAAAAAAGACTTGAGGGTTACATCAAATAATCATTCAGAATCAGTGGCGGCTCGTGGATATTAAAATAGAGGAGGCACACTAAATTGTAGTCCCCTAGCTGAGGCGTTTTTTTTTAACTGCTTAATAAAAGCCTGCTTTTGGATACGTTTATGTAGGAAAACGACATTGTACGTATACAGCAAAACAATATATTTAAATTTTTACTTACCTATTACTTGAAGAAAAAAATCCATCCTCCTGTCCTTCTTAGCGGCAAATGTGTCTATGACTCTGTCGTAGAATACACCTGTCGTCTTTAATTCAGGCTGACTCCAGAGAAATTGTTGCCAAGTGTGACAGTTTTTCTTGTCCACAGTTACTGCGAAGATATGTTTTCACCCTCTTCAGGCCAGAGAAAGACCTTTCAGCAGACACAGTTGTTACAGGAATTGTTAGCATCAACTTAAGCAATCTGAACAGTTCTGGCAGGGTGCTATGCAAATCGTCCTGTATGATCATCTGAAGCAAGTCGCTCGGCACTTTATGGAAACGCTTCTCTTCATAGACCACAAGCAGTTCATTTTTCAACCTCCAACTGTCAAAGAAGGGGTACACTTAAAAGTGAGGCCAGTTCTGCATCAAGAAACCCCTTTGGTTTAGCAAAATCCGCAAATGCTGAAAAGTCCAGAAGTCGAAAAAAATTCAGACTTTTCATATCACTAAATCTCTCTGTCATCTGACATATAACTGCATCCATAATTTCATAGAACAGAGATCGATAAGAGTCAGTGACGCTTGGATCTTCACCCTGCTCGCTGCAGTGAAATCCTTCCTCATAGTCTCGCCAGCCGCGGCGGCGCCACTTCCTTCGGCCATCCTCGTGCCCAACAGCACGGACAGTGTTGTCATACGCGTCATTATCCCAGCCTGGTTCCGTCATGATTCGGTCAAAGACAATGTTCAGACTCTGGCGGCCCACTCATACAACTTGCGATGTCATATGTTTGACAAATTAACTTGGCCTCTGGGTTGTACTTCTGAATTACTTTCATTAACACTTCAGAAAGTGATTCGGCGTCTCTGTCGGCGCTAACGTCGTGGAAACCCAGAGTTCTCTCGCAAATAGCCCCACTGACATTCACATAACGGAGAATGACGGACAGCTGGCATTTACATGAGACATCGGTAGTGTCATCTGCTTGTATGGCAAAGAAATCAGTTGACTGAATTTCTTGATCTATTTCATTATTTACAACAGTGGCTATACTGTAAATTTTGTCATTTTGAATTGATTTTGAAGTACCTTTGAAAATGGTGGATGTTTTCAGATGCTCTGCAAGTGCTGGGTCAAACTCTGAAAAGGTTTCTAGAAGTTATACAAAATTTCCTTCGTTTTTACTTGTAGCAGACTCATTGTGACCACGAAATGCATGTTCTTGTTGGCCCAAATATAGAACCGCAATGATCAGTTTGCGCAAAAGATCACGGTTTTTCGCCACCTGCTCGTTATGCCTCATCGATTCTTACCTGCCCGAACAACTTCAGCTTAAAAGCGGAAGATATGTGGCTCCGAGACTTTGCATGTCTTTCCATAGCTCTTGCTAAATTCTTCATATCGTTGAAACCAGTCGTAATCCATAGATTGAATCCTCCAGTTGATTCGTCAAATAGAAGACAAGGCCAGCAGAAGAGTTTGTTCAAGTTCACTGAGCCTGTTAGCCACTCGGTTTTGCTAAATAATTCGTTTCTAAAACAGCGCGTTCGGCCGCATAATGAAGATTGTTTTATGTCCAGATTAGGCGTGGGTCTTCCTTCATTTTTTATTTTTAGCTGCTGCTCAAAGGGGAGCTTTGTAAATTTATTTGCGATAAAATATTCAATATCTCGTCCCTCCATATTTACTACATTCTAGGCGCCACAGAGTCATTCAAGCATATTACAACGTCATTTATGTCTCAACGGTGATTGGTTGATAAACCAAGGGAGGCTAGCCTCCTCTGTAAATTTTGTAAGCCATTAAAGGGGTCATATGATGCGCAGCGGTAAAACACAGGGGATTCCGACTTAAGTAATATTTTATAGTTTGCAATAGTGAAATTACAATTAAGAAATACACATTATGAAGACATTAAATATTATATTGAGATTTCATTAACATTAAATTGTAACTGCTACTATTACTATTTTTACACCTCAATTTTGCGTAGGCTGAGCCTCCCCTGACTCCCCTGACGAGCCGCCACTGTTCAGAATTATTCTAGAACTAATGTGAGCATTCCACTGTAGAACCCATCGGAATATTATTATTATTTTATTATATTATAACATTATTATTTTGTGGGAGTTTCACTGTAGAAGCCCTCAGAAACATTCAAGAACCATTTGAGGGTCACAATAAATAATAATTTAGAACCATGTGAGAGCTACAATGTCCGATTCTACAGAACCACTCTAGAATTATGTAGAATCCATTTCTCTACAGCTGTGAGGACTCTATGATAGATTCCTAAAAGATAAACTGAGGGTTAGAACTTAGGGTTACAAAATGAAATTGTTTCAAGAATCACACTCAGGGCATTTTCATTTGTAAATCATTTGCTTTGTTCTGAAACAGGGACTTAAATTGAATTTTCTTTTTGGTTATACACACATATACATTTTATGTATATTAGAGTGGGAAACCAGTTATGTGTGCATGTATGTATATATATATATAAATATATTAGAGTAGGAAGGCTTCACTCTTGTTTTGAATTACACAATATTTTAAGATTAAGCGGGGTTTTTTTTCTTTTTTTTTTTTTAAAGCAAACTAATGTGCTCACCCAGATAATCAGACACAGCTGCTTTTGAAGTAATGCATTTGCCATTATGAATTATACAGTTTGGTTCACTGGTCCATTGAGTCAAACTGCTTTCGCACCACAACTAGCCCGCTTCACAGATCATTTTCAATCTCCTTGTTCAGGCGATCTCGGATTGTTTTGGTGTGACTTTCGTGTTTATATATGCCAAAATGAACCAAACTAAGAGGGAAACGCACCAGGTTATGAAACAAACACTCCAAATGAGCCAGGTGTGAAAACGCCCTTAGAGAATACAATCAGGTCTAGAACTGTGCAACTCACTGAATACCATCCACCCCACACTACTATAAAAAGTTTCCTTTTTTGTCTGGCCACAAAACTATTCATTTCATATCCATGGACACTTTTCCTCTGAAAGCTTTCATATTCCTCATCTCATATGCGTGTGAGTCTGACTGCAGCTGAAAGGTTGAACCGTTTTTTTAACACATACACATGCACGTGGCCTCAATTTCAAAACAGAAAATCATTCTCAACTCCATCATCATCGCACCACAGGATGAGAAACCCACTGCAAAGAAATCTCATTAACCTCAACACAGAGACAACATCCGCACATTTGCAGAAGAAAACACAAGGCCTGTCACGGAGAAATACTCAAGAGATGAATAATACTTTCTCTGTCCTGATTTGCCTTCCTTTATGGAGGAGACAAGCTCTGTGACGTACAGAGGCAGTCATGTAATGTTTTATATTCATTTTGTTTATTGGTATGGAACCACAGATCAATTATTAATTAACATCTATTAAAGTTGTGTTGAGTTAATATTTAAAGAAAAGTGCTTTCAGCTAAAGACAGAATTCAAAAATCCCTAATTACCTTAATCACTGGTTGTGAATGATGTCTATTTTTGTACAAACCACCAAACTGTGAAATATTCATCAGATTCTATGAAATATACATATCAGTAAGTGAACCTACAAGCTAAAAGAGATGAAACAATCACTACACCAAAGGATTAAACCACGTATTCTTTATGAGAACACTTTACATGTGATACGGGCTAATGAAATATTTATGAAAAAAAAAAACACAGCGTTTGAGTGTTATCCATCATAAATTGCTTCTAACGGAGTTCAGATCTTACAGTAATGTTGCACATGGGCACATGATGTAAGTTTTGTGAAGTTTTACAACATCAGTTCTGCTTTATTAATGCTTTGATGATTATTTAATGATTTAAACCACAATAAATACTGTTATTTACCTTAAAGGGGTCATATGATGCGATTTCAATTTTTCCTTTTATTTATTGCGGTTATTCATACAAAACTGAAACTATGTTTACATGCAAATGAATATCAATATTTGGTCATACTCTGATGTATGCGTGATGTAAATGCATTATTTAACACAACTGCCATATGACTGTATACAAATGAGTAGCAGAGAAAACGTGCATATAGTTTATTTGGAAAATTTTGATTACTTGGTATATTCAAACCTTTGAAGACCTTTGTGTCTTTTTCAGAAAAAAAGCTTACAGGAACAGTTCACCCAAAAATGAAGATGTACTCACCTTCAGGCCATCCAAGATGTAGACGAGTTTGTTTCCTCATTGGAACAGATTTGTGGAAATGTAGCATTACATCACTTTCTCACCAATGGATCCTCTGCAGTGAATGGGTGCCGCCAGAATGAGAGTCCAAACAGCTGATAAAAACATTACAATAATCCACAAGTGATCGACATGACTTCAGTCCATCAATCTTGTGCAGTGAAAAGCTGCACGTTTGTAGGAAACAAATCCATCATTGAGGCATTTTAACTTTAAGCCATTGCTTCCAGCCATAAAAATACAAGTCCATAATCCATAATAATGCATCCTGCAGTGAAAAATCCATCCCCTGTTGTCCTCTCACATCAAAATCCACCCACATATTTCTTTAGAACTATTACAGACATTTTTCACTCGTAAACTGTGCATATTTCTCTTTCTTATTTATCTTAGACTTTTTCACTGGAGGAAGCAATATCTTGGATAGAGGACTTGCATTTTAGGCCAGTGCAAAGGTTTATGTTAAAAATGTCTTGATGGATTTGTTCCATACAAACACTTTTGCTTCACAAGACTGATGGACTGGAGTCGTGTGGATTGCTTGTGGATTATTGTGATGTTTTTATCAGCTGTTTGGACTCTCATTCTGACGGCACCCATTCACTGCAGAGGATCCATTGGTGAGCAAGTGATGTAATGCTACATTTCTCCAAATCTGTTCCTATGAAGAAATAAACTCATCTACATCTTCGATGGCCTGAGGGTAAGTACATTTTCAGCAAATTTTCCTTTTTGGCTGAATTATTTCTTTATGCATCTTACTCTGAAAACGATCTTCATATAAACATGACTACTGTTTTCTCTATGTGCAAACTCACAGCTCACCTCCAAAGCCTTGTTGAACATCTCTTGCTGGTCGTAGCTGGAGCTGTTGGTCTCCAGAGCATCTTCGTAGAGGTCGACCAGGAAGGCGGTGAGATATGGAGAACTGCATGTGTCCTGAAGCTCCGTCACCTGTTCCAGCAGTCCAGGAAACGAGGACAGCCCACCATCCTGTAGGATCCTGAGTCACAGAACAGATGCTTTGAGACAAATCACAATATATATGCAATGTTTAAATTCATGCAAATATTATACATATTTATTTCCAATTATTTATTTATTACATATAAATTTTTTTCCAAGCATGAGCAACAATAATGGTGATGCTTGCCTTGGCAAACACTGTTAATGATCCATGTTATGTTTTTGCCAGTATATAGTCATAAACATTCAGTCAGGCTCTTCAATGAAAACTGTGTTTGTGTGTTCTGTGGTGAGCATCTGCCATCTGCTGGTCGTATGTTTGAAAGTACAATCCACAGAAAATTGGTTGACTTTAACAGGCTGTTTATATCTGTTTGCAGCACCCACCCATTTAAATAGTTCCAAGCGCTCTCGTTGTGAGGAGCTTTCTTTATTTGTTTCAGGGTGTACCTAAAGAGAGAAAGACAGACAGAAAGGGAAAGAGAGGCACTGAATGGTTTTAATTGGTCATATTTGCTTTTCAGTAACAAATAATAATCTTAATATGTACATTCTACAGAAACAGTTTCTTTAAAAGCAGGTGGAACCAGATAAACATTCACATGTTGGATGTCATGTTACACAACAAACAACCACACTAGCGTGTTCTTCAGATAAGCAGCTTTAAGTAATTCATATGAGCAGCACTGTGACTCTCTAGTAATATGTTAAGCATTTTATATGATGTAAATTTGTATTAATGTTAATGAAAGGCACTGTTATAGAACTAGGAACTATTATTATAGCCTGTTTCCATAAATTAAAAAAAAATAATAATTGCAATTTTTATCTCAAAATTATTTTCTATGGCAATTCTGAGTTTATATCTCACAATTCTGCCTTTTTTACTCACAATTCTGACTCTTTTTCTTTCAATTAATCAATATAAATTCAGAATTGCACAATATAAACTTGCAATTCTGAGAAAAAAATCTGAATTGTGAAATATAAACTTGCAATTACCCTTTTTTTTTTTCCATGCCGGAAAAAAACAACAAAAAAAACAACAACAGAATTGCGAGATGTAAAGTCAGAATTATGAGAAGTAAACTTTGAATTGTGAGGGGGGTGGGAAAGTCAGAATTCTGATTTTCTATCTTGCAATTCTCAGGTTATATCTCGCAATTACAACTTTTTTTCTCAGAATTGTGAGAAAAATCTGAACTCAACTTTTCGTTATTGTAATTTTTCTGTAAAACTTTGAAAGCCTGAGAAACGTGACATAAGAGTAAAAACAAAGGATAACCAAAACAAAAATTTAATTCAAGGCCAATTTTTATAACTTCATGTGATCATTTGTATATTTGCAAAGCTTTTTAGAGCAAAAAGGCTCTGATTTGGTAATGAATGAGACTCACTGCACTTCTCTGTCGAGGATGGATGAGTCGGAGTATCCACTGGTGTGATTAATGACAAAGTGTCTCTGATTCCAGGCAGAGTTATTCCTCACGTCCTCCTCTAATAGTTCCTCCACATACTCCAGCTCTCCATCCCACAGTTTATACTCCTGTGACACACAGAGATGGACCATGAACATGCATGCAGATCAGCAAACAGTTACACAGCACACTGGATCTGGATCTGTACCTGCATGACCCACTGTCTGTGCTGCCATGCGTGGTAGTTCTTGGCATCTTGACTAAGAATTTCTGCTACAAACTGCAGCTCTTCAGACGGGTCGTTCAGCCACTCCACCACCATCCGCCTGTGATGCCTGCAGATTTGCACAAATAGTTTAATAATCAATAATAAATAACAGGGCTTGATTTGTATGTATTTAATGTACTTATAGTTTTTTATTAATATTTTGAATCTGTTTTTATTCTTAAATTTTCCATTTTTAATTTTCTTTGTGTGTGTGTGTGTTTGTCATTTTTAGTAGTTTGTGTGTATGGGGGGGGGGTCTATATAGGTTTTATTAATTTTTATTTCAGTTTTAGCTTTAGTTATTTTAGTACATCAAGTTGAACTAAATTAAAATGAGAACTGGCAATTAGCTGAAATAAAAAAGTTTATTGTATTTTATTATATTTCAGCTAACATTTATTTTATTTTAAATAACAAAAGTTTTTAATGTAAAAAAAAAAAAAACTTCTAAACATCAAACATTTATAATGCTTATTAATATTAGTGATGTTTGCTAAGGAAAGCATCGCTTTTACTCAAACTTCACACTTATTTGTATCAAGAGGTTGAGGTAGACTTACCAGACTTGGTAGTTCTTGGGCTGATCCTCAATGATGGCTGTGATATACTTCATCTCTTCTCTCAGGTCTTTATCTAGAGCCTGCAGTAAAACTCTCCTGTAGTGCCTACAGACATCAAACACCACACTTTCATGTAGGATGCAAGTGACCTGCACTGACTTTGTAACTTTTTGCAGACCAAAGCAACCAGAAGACTTGCTGATTTTTAAATCTGTAGCCACTGCAGACTTAGTGTATGTGTTATGATTGTTTTGGAAAGAAATTGATAGGATGCATTAAAGCTGATCAAAGGTGACAGTAAAGACATTTATAATGTTACAAAGTTTTCTATTTCAATTAAATGCTGTTTTTTAAACTTTCTATTCATCAAAGAACTCTAAAAAAAATTATAAAAATAATAAATAAGCAGCAAATCAGCATATTAGAATGATTTCTGAAGGATCATGTGACACTGAAGACTGGAGTAATGATGCTGAAAATTCAGCTTTGCATCACAGGAATAAATTACTTTTAAAAATGTATTAAAATAGAAAATAAATATTTTAAATGGTAATAATATTTCACAATAACTCTTTTTTTTTTTTTTTTTACTGTATTTTTGATCAAATATATGCAGACTTGTTAAGCATAAATATTTAAAAAATCTTACCAAACACAAACTTTTGAATGGTAGTGCATGAGGTTTGCCATTAAAAAAATCACCAGGACCTAACATATTCACATTTATATGTTCATTTAAATATCCGCTATCTCACCATACTGTGTAATTTGCAGCATTGAGGTCGATGGCTTCAGTGGTCAATGCAAACGCTCTCTCACTCTTCTCATCATTCTGCAGGAGCGCTCTGAACATGTCAAACACGTCTGTGACTGCAGATGAAAAGTGTTCAACATGTTTGTCTTAACAAACGAACAACTGATAACATACAGTGAGTAAAACAAACCCTGACAGCATGACTGGGTCTTGTATCGCACTGAATTGGTTTATTTTGTGATAATTACTGCTGACTGTACATTATCCCATTAACTGCATGATTACTTAAATAAATGAGCATGAAACAGAGCAATGGATGAGTTGTGGAGGAGAAAAGAGTGTGGAGTGATACGAGAGACATGAAAGAACTGAGAAATCAATGGTCTGAGACGATAATAATGTGTGATACTAAAAAAGAACTGTTGTTGGTTCAAGCTTTATTGAATAAAAGACACTTACATTTCTCTGAATAAGCTATTTTCACGACAGGGTTTGGTCCATCATCTTGAGGAACGGGTTCTAGATCGGCCCACTCTTTTCTGTCCCTAAAATAGAAAACAAGCACATTAAATAACAGTTTATAGAATTGCTAGTTAAATGGTCCAGGCATTTCACCAAGACTTCATAAAATGAACCTCTTTTGAATTAAGAAAGCCAAATTTCTAGTGCACAAACAAGTGATTTAGTTCATATGCATCTCTTGAATGTGATATTACTCAAGATGACATTTATATCACAGAGTATCAGCATTAAACTATCGAGTCAACAGAACGAATCAATAAAGAAAAAGGTTCATATGAATCGCTTAATTCTCAAAGACTTCTGACAGTCTTATTTAGTTCATTTGAATCAACCAGAAAATGGGTGATGGCATCTATAACAGCTTTTTGGGCATATTACATTAGGCTCAATGATCTGGATTCATCTCATGTGACTCAACCACTTAGAATGAATGAGTCAATGGCAAAAAATTACCCTCAGAAAACATCTTCTGTATGGTGGTACCTGGTAACTATTAAACAGACTTTTCCTGATCAGGATTTAAAAGACCTTCTTTAGCCCAGGATTACTTCTTCAGATGTGAATCACTCAGAAAACGAAAACTGCCATAAGAAAATATCTAATCTAGTGTTAAATTGGGATGAAAAGACTCCTTTAGTTCTGCTCTGTCTGGATTACACAGATTGTTATCATCCTGTTCAATTCTCTTGATTCAGTTCATATGAATCAGTTTGACGTATTGATTCAGCTCACGTGATTCTCTCAGAGAGCCAACATCAAAACACATCTGTAGTGATTAGAGTGTTTACCAAGGATTACCCTATTAACTTAAACTTACTCAAGATTTTTAAGGCATTTTTAATTCACATCTTGAATACGCTCCTGATTCAGTTCATGTAAATCACTCATATAAAACAAGCTAATACAGCTGCCTGCACACTGAAGTGCATTGCTTGTATGTCTAAAACGTTATTAAAAGCGGATGTCCCACATAATAATGAGGAGATTAAATAACCATCTCTTACTGAAGTGATTAGCCGCACACACACACTCATTCACCGTTATCATGCTAAGTGAGCTAGCTGCTAAACTCACCGGTAGAAGATATAACCTCCTTTAACAGGCTCCTCATATTCCATCTCCGCCTCCTCTACAGTGTTCTCCTCTTCTACTCCGTCCTCCTCCAAATCCTCCGCCACGGAGTTGGAAATTTCTTCAACAGAAGACATTATAGAAACTGCACCTGGATAAATTAACCGTGCAGATGGAGAACTGAGCTGACAGACGCGTGAAGACAGAGACACGTTTGATCAAGAATGGTTTCAAAATAAAAGCCTGTCAAAGTCGAGTAGAACAGAAACAGGACAGCACTAGGCAGAAAACACGGTGAAATGTAGAAATGTAGGAAATAATGGTGAAAACAAAAGTACAATATTATAAAACAATGTAATCTAATCTAATCAATAAATAAATCTAATATTATACATTTATTAATACACACGTGCGCGCACACACACACTTTATATCAATTATACTGTGTATGTATGTTCATATTATTAGTTTAAATTAATTCCAGTTGTTTTTTCTTTTCATTTATTTTTATTTCATTTTATTATTCATTTTCCCCATTATTTTTATTAAAACACACACAAATTATAAATGATATGTAATATAATTTAGATTTTATATATTTATTTTAATACATATTTTGTGTGCGTATAATATATATATATATATACACATACACACTTTAAACATATATATTTATATTCAAATTCATTCCCGTTATTTTTATTTTTTTACACAGACACACAATACTGAAAAAAAAAAAATGATACATTTGCAAATATATTGTATTTTATTACTTATAAAATGTATTATATATATAAATATATTTAATATACTATATATTGCAATACAATTGTTTCAGTTTAAAGGGGTCAGTTTAAAACACTCTTTGGAGTGTTACAAGCTCTTGGTGCATAAAGAAGATCTGTAAAGTTGCAAAGACTAAAGTCTCAAATCCAAAGAGATATTCTTTATAAAAGTTAAGAGTCAACCACACCTACCTAAAACAGCTCGTTCTAACACGCCCCCACATACCTACGTCACTATCTGGGAAGATTTGCATAACACCGCCCAAATGTTCACACAAAGAAAGAAGGAGTAACTTTTATTCTCGCTGTAATATTGAAAAGTGAAAAGTGAAAAAGTGAAAAGTGACGTGACATGTGGCCAAGTATGGTGACCCATACTCATTCTGGATGTTTACATTTTTTTTATTTTTTTTTTTTATTCATGATAATTGATACATGGATTTTAGTTAGTAAAAACTATCAAAAACAGTTAAACATAGAAAATAGATATTCATACAAAGACATAAGATGTTTTGCTAATCACAGAGCACCAGTTAAGGCCTTTTAACAGCAAGTGCCATTGTTTGAGAATATTCTACTGAATTACTGCTTGCCATTGCCATTGATGGGAAGCTTCTTGAAGTTTTCACACTCCAGGAGGGCTTTGATTTTGGGACGGGCAGCAATCTTATCCACATAGCTCTTGAGAGCTGGGAAGGAGTCCAGAGAGGCAGAGCAAAGGACTTTATGATTCAGCAGAAGGTCGAACAGGTTATAGTCAGCAAATGAGATCTGGGAGGAGATTTGAAACATGGGTGGCAGTCAGAATTAATGTACTAAATAACATCCGTTACTCTTCTGGTGTCTGTGCTGGATTTCTCACCTGATCACCAACTAGGAATCCAGATTTGCTTTTGGACAGAATAGATTCAAATGGTTTGAGGTGGTTGGGCAGATCTTTGCAGTATGCTTCTTTACCAGTCTTAAAAAAAAAGATAAGGTTGTTTATGTCATTCTCGAGTTGTCGGGGGCGTGGCTACGGTTGCCAACTTCAGAAAAGGATAAATCATAGACTGTATAAAAACAGTATGTATATAGACCTAGTACTATATGACATTCATTGGTCATTTTGTGTTTCAAGAATGAGGTCCAAGGTTAAGAATACAACAACAGTGAAAAGACAACTTCCCTTATTGATCACGTCTTCCCTCAGGTAGAAGTGGCTGGATGTTGGACTCATGAAAAATAATCACGTTGTTTGCATTTGTAAAAACGGCTATGTTCACTAATCAAACACTTGTCCAAAAAGAATGATTAATTCACTGTTTAGATTTTGTTATTCGTGGTCTAGGTGGTACATATGGCATATGCCTTAAATACGGGACAATCTTGATGCCCTAAATACGGGACGATTAACACGCACGCATTCACTCTCACACAGATGCAGGAAAAGAGAGGAATGAGAGAGATATCTTGTTTTATTACTTGTATTGCAGTGACTACCAGTGCATCTTTTTGTTGATCTCAGAGGAGCTTGTTACTCAATCCACCTGGGTAACAGGTTTTAGCACTGCATGGAGATTAGGCTACAACTAACCAGATGTAGGCTAAACAAATAGGGTTTGGCTCTACAGTCTACAAGAGTTCAGTCTGATGAGTCAAAATATATATTTTTATTTATTTATATTATTTATATATAAATAATATATATATATTATTTTATTTATATATAAATATACTTTTGAGTAAA